AAACACCTTTCCGGTGCTCATCTGCCACATCACCTAAAGGTTGCCTAAGTCTAGGCATGGGAGGTCAAGATGCAGAGGTCGAGTTCGAATGACGGACCTCCTGGTCAATAATTCGCGCTCTAACTACTCGCAACATTTCGGTAGTGTGTTCAAGAATGACAGTCAACTATACTGGACAATGTTTCAGCCTGCAGACAGGAGAAGTACTTTACTAAATCTCGCCTTAATCCGATCTGCAGGAAAATGCACCTATCTGTTTCACTCGATTTGACCATGAACATGTGGTTTGGAATTCACTTCTGTATGCACCCTAGTTCTTCGGTGTATCTTCAAAAAATGCTGAAACTCGTGCTGTTAATAATGCCGGCAATTAAAAAATATTATTTTCAAGAATAATTCTGTGTAACGTGGGTTAAATTTTCACGACCTACATTAAGCTACCCTAAAACAAACTACTTGGTTTTGGAAGTAAATCAATCATTACCCTCGGACATAAAACTACTTACAAAATTACTGCCAGCCCACGACCGGTTTCTCCCTTCTTCAGGCTCATCAGGTTATTGAGCATGCTTCAACCTTAGGTTGACCCACACTGGACTGATTGGGTGTATTTGTCGGAATCATCACATTCTTAAGGAAGAATATCTACTAAACAAGTGCAGCACTTTAGAGTGAAGTTCACACCGGTAAGCGGACAAATTAGCACAGAACAGTTATTCTTCTCCGATTAAAAGTGCCTACATTCTAAACAAATGAGTAGCTCAGTATTAACTGTATATGGCTTTCAACATTTTTTAAGGCAAACTGCAACCTTTTATCTCCACCAGAATGATGCTGACGCTATTCGAATTATAGCAAGATGAAAGAACTACGCGTCGAAGTCTCCAAATGTGATACTCCGCCACTTCTTTTACACTGATCCTTTCGCTAATTATCCAATCACTGATGTCCTTATGAACAAGATTTTCGGTCGTCACGTTGAACGCTATCAATCTTCGTCTGTATGATGCAACAAGACAATAAAAGGCAACTGCATTTTCCGTGTGTGAGCTGCCCATTCTCATTTAAAAATTCTTGAAACTATGCACAAAGTTCTCATCATGGTTGGCTAAACAACAAATAATATCTTACATTTTGCAAGCAATTGAAATAGTTAAAAATACGGTTGTGCAAAATTGTAAAATTATCGAAGGAAAATGCCGAAGAAATTTCACCTAATTTTGCACATAGGCGGGCTGGTGAATGGACACAACAGAAGCAAAATTTTGAATTGAGACATATATTCATCCACAAACGAACCGGTGATTTACAGCCAGTAACATTTTTAGGACACATTTGCTAGTAATGGTTTGGTTAAAGCCTGACTTTTTGTTTATTCATAGAACCTCAGAAAAATGGATTTATTCAAACAGGCATTTACTTTTGGATAATATTTCCCTGAGTTTGTTCTTTCAAAATCAAGAGTAAGTAACTTGATAGCGTTCACTGCCAAAGGTTTTATCCCGTGTGCCGTTTGTGTTAACGGCACTGTTCACTAACGGAACGGAAGAGGCTTTTCCTCCAAAATGCCAATCAAAAAAATGAAACATCCACC